AGATTTCTTTTCCCTTCCCTTCCTTTGTAATATATAAACGTATGTATAAACGTATGTATAAACGTATGTATGAACGTATGTATGAACATATGTATGTATAAACGTATGTATGTATGTATGTATATATGTATAAACGTATGTATGTATGAACGTATATATGAACGTATGTATGTATAAACGTATATATAAACGTATGTATGTATGTATGTATATATAAACGTATGTATAAACGTGTTGCGACACGTTTGAAATTCTTGGAAAGAGGGGGATGGCCTGCCCCTTCTTCGATTTTGGAAGGAACACCATATACGAAGTATCACAATTTACGAGAATACAATCAGTCTTGCGATACCCGCTTGTACGAAAGGTCCAACAGCAGCAGCAGCAGTAGCAGCAACAGCAATGTACTCCACTGTAGGAAACAACACACGAAAAAATTATTACGTTCCACTTCAGAATAATGATGAAACTCCATCATTTACGAAAAGATGTGCCAAGTAAGTTTAAGAATACTCTATTTTTTTAAATACTTTTTCAAATTAACTTTTTAATTAATTATTTCTTTTATATTTTTCTATAGCGCGCCCGTGCATCGTGCGGTTCGCATACTAGGCAGAAAATACGCATTGACACGTACGGGATACAAATTTCTAGAAATTGGTATCAACATTGGCCCACCGAGCTACGTGGAGATTGCGATAGGAGATAATCGTAGAAATGAATTAATTCTATCTATCGAAACATGGAAAGGACTATGAATAACGTTGGAACATTCAAAACTGCCTTCGGAATCACTGCAAGGGGCAATTCTATTACCGTTGGACCGCTGACTGTGCGATTCAGTACGATTAAAAATGCTAAAATTGTGCTTGGAATCATCCGACGTACGTTTAATGATGACTGAATCAACAATATTGTTTATGTTCAACTTAGACAAATGCATTGAATTAGCATTCGATCAATTGGTTGGTATCGTCGAGAAAGTCGATACAAAGTTTACACGATTCTCAAATATCTCATCCACTGTAACGGATGCTAAAGATATACCAAATGTAATATGCGCTAGCGATTACTTTGATAAAAATCAGCTCTTCGACTGCGAACTGTTAGCTGTAGTTTTTTGTGCGTAAGAAAAGAAATTATGTAAAAGAAATGTGAATAAAAATAAATTCATTCGCATCACTATATATGTACTTTATTTTACTACCCATCCTTTGCCCTAGTAAAAGAAAAAAGAAAAGAACACAGCGTATTGTGAAAACTAAGTTATAAAAAGACAAATGGAAAAAGAGGTTCTCGTACCTTTATGGGCGGGTGGCGGCGGCCCATGGCGGCAGCGGCGGCGGCGGCCCACGATGCATTTTTGGGGTGGTCGCGGGGTCGCGGCTGCGACCGGGGGATCTTCTCCGCGCTCTAGCCACATAGAGTTAGCACTCGCCTACTGTACCTACTCTCGATAATTATGAAATTTGGTTGTATTTAGGTATTTAAAATAATTAATAAACGTTGTTTCTATATAAAAATTACATTACGCTATATCTTGGTTGAAAAACGGTTGGCATATACTCTTTGTAACATTTTTCGTTCTATAACTTTGTTTTTTTTGTTCATGGCAATATTTCCTTTTTTTAAATGATGTTTTTTGTTGTCTTGTACGTGACTGCAGTCCCCAAAATCTTACTGCCATTCCGCATGACGTCATATCCCCACCACCGAAGAATCCCCGCGCTACGCTTCCCCTCGCCTACGAATATCCTCCGCACCCCGCGCTCCCCTCTAGCCCCATGGTTTAGAACCGGCCTAGCCTATCTACTTTCGTTAGCTCTTATCTGTATCGGTAGCCCTGTTTTCGGCTCGGCCCCTTTGCCTATCTGCTCGCTTGGCCGTTTTCCCTATAAAACAGGAGCGGCACTAAAAGGGCGCAAATAATAGGCGCAGGCAGCAAGTTAGAAAGAGCGATACGACCTGCACACCCCCGTCATTGGGGCGTAGTTCGGAGCCTTCTCGATGGCGGTCCTCTTCGGCGGTTCTCTTCGGCGGTTTTTTTCGGCGGTCCTCTTTCCTGCTGGTAACTGGGTGAGACAGCTTCGACACAATCACGCATACAGCTACCGATCCTGGCAACGATTCTCGCAGGAAAATAGTACAAAGAAAAAGAAAGTATAAACGAGGAAAAAACAAATAAAAATAAATTTGAGATGGCGCATAAACGGTAGCGCTCGCACGCTTGTTGTCCGCCTTTACGAGCCGGGAGGAACCCAGGATCCACTCGGCTTATCCGCAACAAAGTGACGGACGAAAAACGTCACGTCACAATATATATAAAACGTATAAAAATTGGAAATTATTGGAATTTTGTTTTCAAAATGCATATATTAGTAAATTTTTAGTAGAACTTTATCTTTAGAAGAATTCTATTGTTGTTAATGGGAATTGTTGTTAAAAGTATTAATATTTATCGTTTTCTTGTATTTTAGAGGAAAATTGTGCTAGATCCGCGAATAAGCATGCCATATTTTCAAATTTGGTTTATTTATTGGGTATGGGAATAAGTTTCCGCCTTTTTTTGAAAAGAAAAGATGTGTTTATTTAAACAAATCTATATACATGAGTTTATTCAAAGTATGCTCCTTTGGAAGCGACAACTTTCTCCCACTTTTCCGGTAATAAACGGATTCCTCGAATGGTTCTTTTGAAGCGATCCATTCATCAAGCCATTTTTTGATATCTTTATAAGAATTGAATCGTTTTCCAGAAAGGGCCGACTGCATGGATCGGAACAAATGGAAATCTGAAGGAGCAATGTCCGGTGAATACGGTGGGTGGGGTAGAATTTCCCACTTTACTCCTTCCAAGTATTTCTTGACCGGTTTTGCAACGTGTGGCCTAGCGTTGTCATGTAACAGAATTAGCTTGTTGTGCCTATTGTCCCATTCCGATCGTTTTTCTTTCAAAACTTGGTTTAAACGTATCAGTTGTAGTCGATAACGATCGCCAGTGATGGTTTCGGACGGTTTGAGCAGCTCATAATATATAACACCTCTCTGATTCCACCAGATGCACAGCATAATCTTCGAAGCATGGATATTTCGTTTTAGCGTTGATGGACTTGGTTCACCTGGTATCACCCATGCTTTTAAGCGTTTAGGGTTATCGTAGTAAATCCATTTTTCATCGCCAGTTACGATACGATGTAGAAAACCCTCCCTTTGTTGTCGTTGACGAAGCATCTCGCAGATGATCAAACGTCTTTCCATGTCTCTTTCTTTCAATTTGTATGGCACCCAATTTCCTTCTTTTTGCACCATTCCCATTGCGTGTAGACGTTTTCCAACAGTGGATCTATCAACATTTAACTCTTTTGAGCGATAAACCTATCGAGCGATAAACATGATTCTTCTTCGAGTAATGCTTGCAATTCTGCATCTTCAAATTTTTTCGGTGCACCTTCGCGTTCTTTGTCACGCACGTCAAAATCACCACTGTTGAATCGCCGAAATCATTCTTTATAACTGGTTTTCGATGGAGCATGCTCACCGTAAACATCTACGAGCAAACGATGCGATTCTGCAGCACTTTTCTTTAAAATAAAATAATGGAGTAAAACTTCCCGCAAATGTTGCTTTTTTTGAATAAATTCTGACATCTTCAACGCAAAAAAAGTTACTCTTTTTTACGCTTCGAACGAATGTCAACTATTGGGCTCAAAAGTTTGAACATAAACCTTTCAAACACATGTGTTGCCGTTCTATCAAACACACAAGCAATGCTACTAACGACATCTTTCTACAATGGGCGGAAACTTATTCCCATACCCAATATATAAAAAATGCGTAATTTTTTTTTATTTTTATGTAGAATTGTAGAATTGTGAAAAGTGCTACTGGAACCGCAATCTTTTTTTTTATATTAATAGAATGTCGTGCTAGCTCATAGATCCTCGAACTTTCGAGTCATCGCAAACGCAAATTTTTTTTCTCGTGTAACATATAGCAGAAATAAGATGTTATTTTTTAAACTTTTTTTCTTAATAATTTTTAAACGAAGGACGATTACCAACTAAAACCTGAAGTTCACTCAGGGTCATGACCTTGACAACGTATGTCTTGTCAACGTATGTTAAAATATGAAAAAAATACGTTGAAAATGACATTGTCGGTAATTGTGCTGATCATATTTGTAATCAGCACGCTAAAATACTGTAGTATATCAATCGACAACAAAATCGGAGATGTCACTCTTTCGGTAGTGTAGCTTTTTAGATTGAAAATGATATTGAAGATGTGATCTAAAATGAGGATTGAAACCATTTAATTCGACATTAAATTGTTATCCGACTCATTATTGTCATTAAATTGTTTATCCGGCTCATCATTGGCATTATTATTATATTATAGGTATATTTTGTACAATAGACAATTACAAATTGTCATATTACAAACTAATAAACGTTTTTATTGTACGTCCAACTTACGCGGATTGAGTTTTCATGTTATTTGTTGTCGCGTTGTCCGATGATATATGCACGTAGAGATCCTCGTCATATATACGCGTTAAGGAAGCATTCCACAGTTTACCACTGTTACTGACGTAGAGATCCTCTTGATTTTCATTTATTTTTTCGTTATTCATATATGAATAATCTTTGTCCACCTGACGCATTTTGGCACCTCCAAGTATCTTATAAATATCTGGCGCACCATTATCTGTAAGTACGACAAGTGCTGATAGATTGCGTATAAATAAATAGCACGTTAGCGAAAGAAGAAGAGAAAGACTGCACACATACATACAATTATAAAATAGTATACAGTTATAATCGCGTAGTTCGTCATACTGTGTGTGTGTGTGTTGTGTGTTGTGTGTGTATTCATTTTATATAATCAAATACAATTATAAATAATCTTTACTTACCGGAAATTTAACGGATAAAGACTATTGACTTTCTATAATTTTTCACTCTATAGTAAATACTTTAAAATTATGATATACTTTCTATATATAAAAGAGTTAAATGAAGAATATTCTACAATATCGCCAGAAGTTCTCTTTTTCATATATAATTCTATTGGTTATGCGAATTTGAAAGTGCATGTATTTTTCGGTCCCTCCTGTATTCGATACGTAACATGCGCACGTTGTACGATCTTTCTCCTAATAACCAGAAACAAGTATCTCACCTTGATTTAGACTCGCTTAGCCAGTAAAATTATTTCTATTTATTCTACTTCAGACCGTTTTTATAATTGCGGATCTCTAAAATTTTACATAAACACCGAGGAAATTGTGACGGATCCACTCTTTTCCAATCGTACGATAAATTGCGAGAATTAAGCTCATGCAAGGGGTAAACTGTTGAGAACATTGCACTGTACAGATTTGAAGAATTACTGGGCATTACTTAAAAGAATTGTGTATTATAATAAGTAGTATGAAGTTATACATTATTGTTCATTGTAGAGCATTATTAATAGTGTATTATCTGAAGACACTGGTAGTGTCTCGGCGCTAAAGTACGTGCAGCGACACTGCCGTGGCTTAGATATTACAGGACATAAAAGATTGGATATTACTGGACATTAGCAGGCATTGGTGTACACAATTTTGGTTAGCGATTTATTCCTTGAGTTCATGGTACGTATAAAACTATAAGGTAGTAAAACATAAAGTAGTAAGCGAATCGTCCAATTACAGTAAAGAACGTAAGATTATTGCTTTACGTTTTCTACTGTGATTAACCAATTCGTTTATTGCTTATGTCTTACTGTCTTATGTATTTCTATATCTTTCTTGCTTTATTTTCCCCAATTTCACTTTTTAGATTATCTTTTCTACTAGTTGATAGTCTTGTGAGATATGCAGAATATCCCGTACATTCCATTGCGCTGAGATTAATGTGTCTTACAAGGTAACGGTCGCAACTGACTATCACCGATTTTAATAAGCTTTGGATATGTTGTAGAGCATGAAAAAATATTAAACCCTTATTTTTTTTGTACTTATCTCGAAGTGTACGGGGTGGGACACTCCTTCGAAAATAATAGATTCAATCGTTTTTCTTAAATAAAAACTATCTTTAAGGGGGACTACTAGTCATAAATTTTTAAAAATCGAATTTTTGGGATTTTATATTTTCATAATGCTTTATGTTTTAAGAACATTCTGTGAAAATTATTAAAACAATATCTTTATTTTTAGACCGTATATGTGAGAAACACAATCAATACTAGAAATTTAAAATGCCTATTACGGTCGAAGCTGGATCTTCGTTGCTTTTTAAAATAATTTAATCTTGAATTACTAATATACACTATATGTATATGTACTTGCATATATACCATATTGTAGTCTTTTTCACACACACACAAACTGCGCGCCGAATTATTTTTCCGGACTAAATAAACGCAATTAAAACTACTCTAGTAAT